TTATAAACCTATCTGTGTCGGAAGAAGGACAACCAGAATGCTCGTTAGAAGCCAAGACAGCCAGACTTCGTCTCTCATATTACAAACATAGTATCAGGAGGAACATCATGCGAGTTCAGTCCCAACCTGAAGTAGGTGACTAAGGGCCATAGTCTCAGGGATCCACGAGTCTCCATCTGACTAGCTTTTCTTAGGTGCCATCGAGTTGATTCTGACCCGTAATGATAACTGTGCACGACAGAATGAAACACTGCCCAGTCAGTCCTGCTGCATCATTCTCACAGTTGTTATTCTTGAGCCCATTGCTTCTGCCTCTGTGCCAGTCCCTCTCATTGGGATTCTTTTTTTTCCCTCTGACCCTCCCAATTTACCAAGCTTGATGTCCTTCTCCAGGGACTGGTCCCTCCTGACAGTATGTCCAAAGTATAAGAGACCATGTCTTGCATTCCTGGCTTCTAAAGAACATTCTGGCTGTGCTTCTACCAGCATAGATGTGGTTGTTTTGGCAGTTCATGGTACTTCCAATATTTTTCTCCAACACTTTCACTCAAATGCATCAATTCTACAGTCTGCCTTATGCATTGTCCAACTCTCATATGCATATTAGGTGATTGAAACTACTGTGACTTGCTTGTGATGTACCTTAGTCCTCAAAGCTGATATCTTTCATCTTGAACACTTTAAAGAGATTTTGTTCAGCAGATTTGCCTACTGTAATCATTTGATTTCTTGACTGCTGTTGATTGTGGACCCAAATAAAATGAAGTCTTTGACAACTTCAATTTTTTCTCCATTTATCATGATGTTATTTATTGGTCCGGTGGTGAGGATTTTTGTTTTCTTTACATTGAAGTACAATTCATGTTGAAGGCTGTGGTCTTTAATTCTTCATCAGTAAATATTTTAAGTCCCCTTCACTTTCAGCAAGCATATCACAGGTTGTTAATGAGCCTTTCTTCAATCGTGATGCCACACACTTCTTCATATACTCCAACTTCTCCTATTACTTGCTCAGCATACAGATTGACTCTCACCAGTAAGCCTTGTCTTTTTTATGATTTTGAGTTTTGTTCCACATTTTTCTTCCACTCTATCCAGGGCCTTGTAATGTAATTCCTATCAGAGTAGTTAGCAGTGATAGCCGGCTACCATCTAGTTCTTCTGGTCTCAGAATTGGAGAGAGTGATATCACATGGTACATTAGGCCATTGGACTAATTGTTTCCATGTGTCTTCAACTTTCATCACTCTTTCCTCCAGATCAATAATTACATCTTAGATTGTTGCTCATGAGATTTTTAAGACCCTAGCTACTACTCACCAAAGTAGGATGTAGAGCATTGTCCTTGTGGACTATTTTATTCCAGTTGACAATGGTATCCCCTGCGACTATAGTCCTGTACCTGCCCTTTCCAATTGCAATCTCTTCCTAATAGAAACCCGACTTTCTGCTCAATGGGAGCAAAACTGTTGCACCCAGATCAGCTACTTACAAGAGCAGAGCTTTCGATGGAAATTTTAAATAAATGGGATCAAGATCCTGAAGCATTTCTTGAAAAACTGTAACAGGAGGGGAATATGGGTTTACCAGTACCATCCTGAAGACTAAACCTAGTCAAACAAATAACTGCTGAGATTCACAAGTTGTCCAGTCAAAGCAAAAGTAGACCAGGCAAGAGCAAAGATCATGGCAATGGTTGTTTAGGAACCTCAATGCATTTTGCTTGTTGACTTTACGTCGTCAAAGCTGTAGCAGGAAAACATTCAAGAAAGCTTCACCTGAGAGTCCTTTCCACCATAACCATGCTCCTGCTCATTTCTCTCTTCAAACCTAGGGCAAGTTTTCCAGTTTCAATGGGGAATCATCAGACCGCTACCTTACAGTCCTGATTTGGCTTCTTTTTATTTCCTAATCTTAAAAAAAAAATTAAAGAGTACCCATTTTCCTTCAGTTGACAATGTCAAAAAGACTGCATTGACACAATTAAAGTCCCAGGGCCCTCAGTTCTTTAGGGATGGACTAAATAAAGGGCTGATGTCATCCTTTATAACAGTTTTTTAACCATAGTGGAGCTTGTGTTGAGAAACAAAAGTTTATATTTTTTTTATCACCTTTTCACTCCATTTTCTCCAGAAACTTTTTGAAAGACCGCTTGTATGGAACACATTTTTACCTGGAGAAATCAATATTGTAAAACAAAGTTTATTAAACCCAGTCTAGTTCATTTAAGTACTTTTCTTATGTACTGGTAGCATTTTAATTTGGTTAATTGAAATATCTGGTGAGTTGAGTAGATATCCAGATGAATTCCATGCTGAGTGAATAGAAGGTCAGTTAATTAAAAACAAAGAAAATCTAGTTTCTATGCTTAAAGGTAATGTCCCATACACTTAAATTTTTAGTTTCTTAGAAGCTTTTATGAGGAGCCATGGTAGCATAGTAGGTTATGAGTTGGGCTGCTAACTGCAATGCAAGTTCAGTAGTTTCAATCTACCAGCTGCTGTACAGAGAAAGATAAGGCTTTCTACTATAAAGATAATTCAAAAACCGCTGCAATAGGACATCAACTAGGAAGGGCCAGAATCTCAAGTCAGGTTCAGAAAAGAATGTGGAACTAGGGATATCATTGCTGACATCAGATGGATCTTGTCTGAAAGGAGAGAATACCACAAAGATGTTTACTTATGCTTTATTGACTATGCAAAGCTTTCAACTGCATCGATCATGACAAGCTCTGGATAACATTGCGAAGATTGGGTAATTCCAGAGCACTTGATTATGTTTATGAGGAACCTGTACGTAAACCAAGAAGCAGTTGTTCACACAGAACAAGAGGATACTGAATGGTGTAAGATCAGGAAAAGTGTGCACCAGGTCTGTATTCTTTCACCATATTTAGTCAATCTGTAAACTGAGCAAATAATCTGAGAAGATGGAATATATGAAGATGAGCATGGCATCAGGATTGGAGAAAGACTAACTACACTACAACCTGTGGTATGCAGATGATGCAACCTTGCTTGCTGAAAGCGAAGAAGACTTCAAATATTTACTGATAAGTATCAAAGACCACAGCATTCAATATGGGTTGCACCTCAGTATAGAGAACATAAAAATCTGCACAATTGGGCCAATAACACCATGATAAGTGGAGAAAAGATTGAAGTTGTCAAAGACTTCATTTTGCTTGGATCCACAATCAACACTCATGGAAGCAGCAGTCAGGAAATCAAATGATGTGTTGCATTAGACAAATCTGTTTCACAAGACCTCCTTAAAGTGTTCAAGAGCAAAGATGTCAGCTTCAGGACTAAAGTGCTATGACCCAAACCTTGGTATTTTCAGTAGTTTCATGTGCATGTGAGAGTTGAGAAACAAAGGACAATGAAATGGATTTGCACAGTGGCAACAGCAGTGTGCTTAAGTGTAAAAATTGTGAGAATGATGCCAAACCGGGCAGTGTTTCTTTCTGTTGTGCACACGGTCTCTGACTCCATGGCACCTAACAACAACAAAGATTTATAGCCTCCGAAAGCCTATACAGGATCGCTGTGAGTTGGAACCAACTTGGTGGCACATCACCACCACCGCTACCATAAGCTTTTCCAATGTTGACTTTCTTAGTAAAGAGACATTTGTTACTATTATTAAGTGCTGTTAAGAATCAGTTCCAACTCATAGCAACCCTGTAAGGGTTTCCTAGGAACAGCTGGTTTGCTTGAACTACCAACCTTGTGGTTAGAAGTCCAGTGCTTATCCTACAGCACCACACTTACATACAGGTAAGGGGGTAAAGTGAGAGTTGTTTTCTTGTCACTTGTAGAATATCTGTCAGGACCAACCTTCTGCCTTTGCCTCTTGAGAAAACAAACGGTTAAGGCTCGAAAAGAAATTATATCCAAAAGCACCTAGTTTGAAATAAGGACACTGTGGGTCCATCGGGTTAGAAATCAAGAGAACATAAAGTCACATTTAGCTGCCATGAGTGAGCACATGCAATTTGTAAGGTGACTCATCAAATCATTTTGAGTACATGAAGAAGGGAATATGACTTTAAAAACTAAATTTGTTGTTCTTCGAGGCTATTTTAGGATCTGAGTATTGGTATATTTAAGAAAAATTGGAAACACTTACATAAAATCAACCAATTTGGACTAAAGACAGAATCTGTGTAAATCTGTTTTTTTTTTTTTTTTTTAAAGCAGTTTTATTTTCAAGTACATAAAGGCACAAAACCTATGCTTTTGTTTGTTTTGTTAATCTCAAAGGTAAGTGGTCACTATCACTGTTTCATGTCTATATATTATAATTTAGATAATTGTGGGTTTTGGCTCTTCATAGCTTATAAAAAGCTGGACTATAATTTTATTTAGTAGGATCTGAATTAAATGAGACTTTACCTGAAGCCTTATATTCTGATTCTTTTGATATAAATAATCCTAAAGAAATTAGGCCAGAGAAATATTCTTGATTTTGTTGTTTTAATCAAACTAAAAATCCTTAACTACTGAGTCCTAGTGTGGCACTGTGGGATAATGCACTGGGCCACACAAGGTCGGGTTGAACTGCAAGGTCAGTGATTCCAATTCACCAGGCCACTCAGAAACCCTATACAGGGTCACTGTAAGTTGGAATTGACTCGATGGCATGTAACAATGACAACAACTGAGATCAAGCAGTGTTACAATTTCCATTTTTACTGTTATTAATTCTGTAGGGCAAGATGGAGACTAGGCATGCCAGAATGTTTTGAATGCCTAGTATAAATTCTAAATATGTTTTTTTTTATAAAATATTTACCAGCAGTTTATTGTATTTCCTTGTTGCTTTTACCTTAAATTGGTTTCTATTCCAAGAAGGTATACATAATAACATATACTGACTGTTTTATCAGTCAAGTAGAAGTTGAAATGGGTAATTTGGATTTTTGTGAATTTTGGATGTGTAGATTTTTGGTGTGTATTGCACCTGGGGACATTTTTTTTTTCTCTTAATTTCAGTAAAAAATCCCAGAAGTGGGATGAAATGAATATCCTGGCGACATATCATCCAGCAGACAAAGATTATGGTTTAATGAAAATAGATGAACCTAGCACTCCTTACCACAGGTAATGTTATGATGATTTTTTTTTTTAAACTTGTTTTCATTTTGCATTTGATTTCAGTTTTGGATACAGCTGATTTGAATTTGTTTGATTTCATATTTGTTACTGGAGCACTAGTTAATAAGTAATAAATAATTTTGCGTGTAATTTTATGAGTAATATGTGACCTTAAAATTATGGAATTATACACGATAATTGTAAATGTTTATTTGTTTCACTTCACTGATAAGGAGCTCTGGTAGCTTAGTGGTAACGTATCAGGCTGCTAACCTCAAGGTCAGTAGTTCGAAACTACCAGCCATTTCTCGGGAGAAAGATGAGGCTTTCTACGCCTGTAAAGGTTTGCAGCCTCGGAAACCCTCTACAGAGTTGCTATGAGTTGGAACCGACTCCATGGCATATCACCACCACCACCACTGGTACCTACCTGCTAATGACTTAGTTTTGCCTTCCTTAAAATAATCCTTTTCTAGAAAGGAAGATGAGGTGTAGGCTTGTTTCCAAAGTAGAAACCAGAGGCTTACACAGTCTGGTTGCAGAAAAAGTTAGCAGCATAGGTGATAACTCTTTGTTAACATACTGAGTGAAAGGCAAGTGGTCATTACTTAAAGAATTAAAAAAAAAAATAGCTTTAACCAGTATCTTTGGACTTGATATTTTTTTAAAAATATGAATGGTAGATCATTTGAATACTGCTTTGTTTTCCTTATTGTACCTCGTCATTCTTCTGAGAGTTGCTGGAAATTTATTTGGTCTCTAAGTTAATAAAGCTATAGATTCAAATGTTTGCCCAAATATGTGCTCAACTTTTACCAATTCAGGACTTGATTTTACTAGTTCCTTTGGTGGCTCTTTTTTTTTTTTTTTCTCCCTTTCTTTTTTAAGGAATTTTATCTTTTTAACAAAAGATGCTTTTATATAAAGATCATGCTATATTATCCCAAAAACCTCACACTTTTGTTGTGGTTGTTAGGTGCCATTGAGTTTCCAACTCATAGTGACCCTGTATAGGGTTTCCCAGGCTGTAAATCTTTGCAGGAGCAGAAAGCCTCATCTTTCTCTTGAGGAGCAACTAGTGGGCTCAAATCACCAACCTTGTCCTTCACAGTACAGTGCTTATCCTATAGAGATATAGCACGCCATACAGAAAATCACTGTTGATTTTATAGACAGACACACACAGTACATCTATAAGTTTTATAACCTAGTATTTTCTATAGACTAATTTGCAAATTATGTTTATTTACCCTGTTCTGCTTAATTAGATCCAATAACGTAAATGAATTTGCTTTAACTTCCATTGGAGGTTAGTGGGGAGAGCATTATCTAAGCCATTGCAATTACTTGTTTCCCAGAGAAGTTCCACATCCACAGTTTTTGTTTCTGTTTTTTAATATATGACTGAGTTCTGCTTGAGAACTAGGGATGTCCATTTTTGCAGTGAAGTGAGGAGTAAGTTTTTCATTTGATGGGATAGATTGGAAAGCGAACTAGCTTTTTTTTATGTCCTAAATTTGGTGTTTGAGATGTAATTTTATTATTGTAACCTAATCTTATGTCTGCAGAAATAATCTGTCTCGACCTTCAGTTGATGTACAAATACCACAACCAAACCCACTGTCATCAAGTTGAGTCTGTCTCAGAATGACCCTGTATAGGTCTTCTGGAGATACTGAATCTTTACAGGGGCAGAAAGCCTCATTTTGCTCCCAAGGAGCAGCTCATAGGTTTGAACTGCCATTCTTACAGGTAGCAGTCCAGTGTGTATCCTGCAGCGCCACCAGAGCTCTATGTACAAATACACGTATTCTGAAACTAGACAGTGTATCTTTTTTTTTTTTATCATTTGTCCTTTATACTTGGTAAAATCATTGAAACTTCATAGTTTTCTTTCAGGTGATTAATGTTTCCAGTAATTTTATGGTTATCAACTAGAGGTATCTCTTGATTGGTGCTGTTATGCCTTTGAATATTTGCAGTTGAACTAAATTAAACTTCAAAGCTGACAACAGACCTATAAATATGTTGATAGTTTTAGTTGGTCAAAAGAACATTATTTCTCTATCTTGTGTTTCTGCCTGCCTGTAAAGTTTTGTGTCAGGTTTTAATTATAATGTGCTTGTCATCCTAGTATGATTGGTGATGATGAAGATGCATTGAGTGATTCAGAGACCACTGAAGTCATGACTCCCGAAATCTTAGCTAAGAAGTAAGTACTGATGACTATAAGGAATTCACTTTTGCTGGTTTTTCATTGTGCCTAAAGACATTTTGTTTTGCTTTATTTGTATAGTAAGAAACATGTTTATCTTGGGTTTTCATACCAAATTTCTTGTCTTATTTCTTCCTTAAAGTCAATTTATACAGGTGGCAGGAAGATTAAAGTACTTTAATCTAGCTTTCTGAGATGTGGTCAATTTCCTGTGAATTTTTAGCATCCTACCAACTGGGTTTTGAAAGATAAAAGTGAGAGAATAAGTAAATTAATAAAGCAGAAATTCTCATCCTTTGTTATTCATTGACTAAGGCTGCTGACTTCAAGGTCAGCAGTTCGAAACTACCAGCCCTTCCATAGGAGAAACATGAAACTTTCTGCTCCCATAAAGATTTATAGCCTCAGAAACCCTATACAGGGGCACTTTGCATTGGAATTGACTCCACGGCACATAACCACCACCACCATTCTCACTCTTTTGCCTGTCATTTTCCTCATCAGGCCATAGTTAGCATAGCAGTGATGTTTAGGTGTTTGAGTGATACTCAAAAGTTGAATACAATACTTTAGTAATATAAGACTATCACAGCGTTGATTTCTGTGTAATGATTGTTGTGTAGATTATCTGCTGCTGAAGGCTTGGAGCCAAAGTATCGGGTTCAGGAGCAAGAAAGCAGTGAGGAGGAAGATAGTGACCTCTCACCTGAAGAGCAAGGTAGTTCATTTCCTTTACTGCTTTTGTCATTATGTTAATAATTTTTGCTATGATATAGCCACTATTTGGAGATTGGCTGTCCTTGAGAAGTAGGAGGGTGGTGATAAGTGTTTGTATAGTAAAGGTTTTACTTGTATGGGTTTACTGTATAATCATTTCCCCCACTGATTTTAAGTATTTCAGAAATTATTATTTAAAGGATTTGTAACTGCTCCTTCTTTGGTACTTTTTAGTGTTGGGTAAATAGCATATGCTCAATAAATAAGTAAATAATTTAGAACCATTAAGTGTCTGGCTGATTTTCAAGTGAGTAGCTATAAAAACGAATTTCTCAATTGCTGGTGCTTTCGTGCTATTTTAAACAGTGATAAAACTTACCAAGTAAACTATTTGCTAATTAAGGTCTTTCATTGAAAGAGCAGCAGTGTCATAGGAAAGGACAGAAAGTTGAACCCCCTCTTTAACAGGACTGGAAGAGGGTCTCATAGCCTATAGAGCACATATACACTTAGGGCATTAACTAGTAGGAGAAAGATGAGACTTTCTGCTGCCACAAAATTTACAGCCTTGGAAACCGTATACAGGGTCGCTATGAGTCGGGACTGACTCCATCCAGGGCACATAACCACCACCACCACATGCAACAGTAGTTGGTGAAGAGAGGAAAGAGATTTTACTGGTTGAACTGTGTGAATATAAATCTCACACCCAAACGAAACCCACTGCCATCAACTTGGTTCCAACATAGCATCTCTATAGGACAAAGTAAACTGCTTCCTAGGGTTTCTATGACTGTGAATCTTTAACAGGAGCAGACAGCCCATCATTCTACCAGCGAGTGGCTGGTGGACTGTAACTGCTGAACCTACTGTGCCACAAGGTCTTCCAAATCTGTACATAGTTTATTTTCAGCTGTCTTTAAAATGAAAAACAAGTAAGCATGTCTTTGTATAGAAAAAAAAAAAGATTGAAGGAAACACACACACACCTAAAAACACAAGACAGAAAATAAAGCAGTAATATACTTGAAGCCTTGAAATATGGGGATGACCTGTACTGTATACAAGTTCAGAAACTTTAGAATTAAGGCTCCTAATATTTATTAATCAGCTGTCAAGATCTTTGTCATGTTTAGCTGCTAAAATATGATTTACTAATTTTTCCTATAAACTTCATACTGTAAAACTTGCTCAACAAGTGGTAAGTGCTTAATTGTTATGGAAAAGATAAATTTTACATATACCATATGTTGCTCAAGTGGTGTTATATTTATTGGACTGTTAACTGCAAGGTTGGCAGTTCAGATCCACCACCCACTCTCGAAAACCCTATATGGTGTCGTTACGAGTCAAAACTGACTCAACAACTCAGAACCAAATCAACAGAAAAAACGAGTGATTGATTACCTCTCTTGTTTTCCAAAGTATACCTTTTCAAGCGACCCTTGAAAAGGTTTCCGAGTAGAAATTGTTTCTAGAGGTTTTTCCCTCATTACTCTCTAAAACCATGATCTATTGAGATCAGAGAATTTATTGTTAACCTAAAATCCTACTTGTTGGTTTTCACTTGTGGTTCCAGGATTCTGCCAGCAGGGGGAGGTATGTGCCAAGTTCTGATTTCACAAATTCCGTTCCCACTAGTAGAGTTCCACGGCACACAGCCACCACCACGTCACCACTACTAAAGTTACTGACTTTTTATAGGTGCTTATTGCTTTAAACAAATTATGTCTAAAAATTCTATTGTGTTTATTGACAGTAGAAATTCTTAGAAAATCAGTCTATTTACAAAATAAGCTCATTAACATGCCTAGTCAGTTATAACCAGACACTATGTAAAGTATATATTGTATAAAGTCATTTGAGTATTAAGTACATATATTTGAGAAAATCATAGTTTTAATTTTGCATAATTTTTATCATAGTTTTAGCTATAAATGGAAAGAAGCATTATTCAGTTTTTAACATCTTTTCTTTCTAATGTAATTAAAAGGTACCATTCAGTATCCCATTACCTTGTTTTGTTTTCTTCAAAACATTTTAAAGTTTGTTAAAATGTTCATCTTCTCTATTAGAATGTAAACTTCAGTGAAAGAAAGTATCTCCATGAAAATGTACCTGGCATGTAGTAAGCACTCAAAGGTTATTTTGTGAATGTGTAACAATTTTAGAAGTTGTAATTGTGACCTGGTACTTCTACATGAAAAAAAATTATAACAAGAATATTGGCTCTTGAGTCATACTTAAATCTGTTCCAGGTATGTCAGCTAATTTGCTTAATATCTCCGACACTCAGTTTCCTCATTTCTTAATAGGGAGCTATATATTTTAAATATTCTAAGACCAATTAATAAGTAAAACCTAGTTAGTATTTGTTGGATTGGGAAAAAAATGATTTTCTTCTACTGGAAATAGAATGCACAAAAGAGAAATACTGCTAATATAAATCCTGTGAATAAGAAACAACTTAAAATAGAATCATGGTACTATCCTTTCAGATAAATAAAAAAAAATTTTAAATGGTAATTTCTCTTTTGATGTGAAGGTAAAAGAAGTAGATTTCTGTACACTATTGATGGGCCATGTAAAGTGCCTTTCTGGAGGGCATTGTGGTAATATGTGCACCAAAAGCTTTAGAAGAAAGTATGTACCTTTTGATCTAGCAATTTAGTTTCCCAGAGCTTAATCCAATGTTTTTCAAATATTTCAAAGTAAATCTCACTCTGTGTACATGTACACATGCAATTACGAAATTAAAAGTTCACAAAACGTTGTTGATGTTAAGTGCCATCGAGTCGATTCTGACCCATAGCGACCTGTATAGGGTTTCCGAGGAGAAGCTGGTGAGCTTGAACTGCCGACCTTGGCAATTCAAACGGCTTTGCAGTCTGGCGCATTAACCCATAGCGCCACACCAGGACATTACTTACCCTTTAATTCTAATTTATTCTATTTCATTTCTTTCTTCCTTCTGTCCTTCCTTCCTTTTAATACTTCCTGTGACCCATTAAAGAATCATGATGCACTATATGAAACACATTAGTTTAATAACTGAAGGGGATTCAGAAAATTCATGGAAAAAATCCATTATATTATCTTTTAACTTCATTTTTCCTCACACTTTTTGAAGCCACCTTGAAAGGGGTAATCAGAAATCCTTGAACAAGCATAGCAATTAAGTTAAGAGAATCACCATCAGCCAAAAATTAATTCCTATGATATGAAGGTCAGACATACCTCCATTCTCCAACCTTTTTGCCAATTCTGCCATTCCTCCCATAGCACTCTTCTTCTTGGCTGGGTTCAGTGACTGGGTGCAGTAGCCACACAGAACTCACAGACCATACTCAGAAATACAGAGTTACTAGAGAAGTAACAGGCTGCAATTCAGGATCAAGATCTATTTGGAAGTAACAGAAACAGCTCAGGAGACAGGATAAAGTTCATCAGTCAGGACAGTTTCCAACCTCTTAGCCTGTTCTTGGCTATATCCACAGGTAGGCAGGCAGGCAGGCAGACCTCCATCAAATGTTATAGCTGTTTAGCTCCACTAGTAAGTGCCCAGAGCACCCCACTCTGCTGAGAAGCTGCCTGCGCGAAGTGCTTGGTTCTGTCACTCAGTGGCTTGGCAAGCCTACTGCTACCTTGGTCTGCAGACCAGGGAACCCTCCATATCCATCTGGTGCTGGTCTCCTGATTCTTGCCATGTGTGCTCTCTCATGCCCTCTGTCTCAGAGCTGGTACAGCACTCACTCTTTCCTGGATGTAGAAGGTTCTTCGTGCCAGAGACTCTGCATCTAAAGGATGAGCTCCACACTAATTCTTCTTGATGGTAGTGAGGTTCATTTCCTGCCCCAAGTCTCTGTGGCATTAATTCTAAGCCTAACCTGATAGTAAAACTCACCAATCCTCTTGGCAGGCCTTAGATACTTTATTTGCATAGTTGTTCAGTTCCTGCAAGAATTTTATATACCTTATTTGCATGTTGTTGTTGTTAGGTGCTGTCGAGTTGTTTCCGACTCATAGCAACTCTGTAGAGGGTTTCCAAGGAGTGGCTGGTGCTCTTGAACCACCAACCTTGTGACTCAAACTGACTTTGCAATTCAGCACATTAACCCACAGTGCCACACCATAGTTCCAGTCAATTGTTTTGTGGACATTACAAGATTTTTCTTAGAAAGACCATATAATAGTTCACTTCCGTGCACCTAACCTAGACTAGGTCAGCTCACAAGTTAGAAAAACACAACCATTCTACCAAATACACACGTGCCAACTACAAGCTTGGAGAGCCCATCTGACACCTCAACTGGTCACAGTTTCTGAACTGGTTTTCCACTATTCCCTCAGGATGCCAGCCAGGTTGGTAGTCTACATGACACACTCAAGTTCTGACCTGTTGGTTCCACCTGCCTCTTTGGGTTCAATGTTGTTGTTTGTTGTTAAATGCCACTGAGTTGGTTCTATACATAGAAAAAAGAAAAACAGCCTCGATAGCCTCTATACATAGCTACCCTGTATAGGGTTTCTGAGGAGCAGCTGGTGAGTTTGAACCGCCAAACTTGCGGTTCAGACCAATCTTTCAGTCCAGCAGTGCCACACCAGGACTCCGTGGGCTCAATAATTAAGTAACTCACAGAAGCTTACAGAGAGTAACAATACTTACAACTTCAGGTTTATGACAACCAGAAAGATTACAAATGAAGAGACATGTAGGGTAATGTCTGAGAAAGTTGAAATGTGGATCGTCTCCTTCCCAAGGAACACATCCTCCTCCCAAGAGCACATGTTCTCACCAAACAGGAAGCTCTCACCAACTGGGAAGCTCATCTGAGCCTTAGGTTAGGACTTTTATTACCTTTCCCACATGGTCATGATTGTCCACATGAAGCCTCCAGGTGATCCTTCTTGGTCTGGACAGCCTCCACTCTTTAGCCTCAGGGTAGTCTTGCTCTCACTCAGGAACTGAGAACAAAGGCCAAATTGCTTTCTGCACCTCACAGTTCATCTATGTTACTACTGTCTAAACTGGAGCATTTTTAAAAAGTTACATCTGAATGATTACATCTGACAGTAGGCATAAGCTGAAATGGCCCTGGGTAAACTGGGGATGTTAGGGTTGCCATTACTGTATTTTGAGTGAAAAAAGAAAAACAGTCTCTATAGCAATATATAAGGAGCTCTGGTAGCGTAGTGGTTATGAGTCAGGTTGCTGACCTCAAGGGCAGCAGTTCGAAACTACCAGCCATTCCTTGGGAGAAAGATGAGACTTTCTGCTCCCGTAAAGATTTACAGCCTCGGAAACCCTATACAGGGTTGCTAGGAGTCGGAACCAGCTCCACGGCACACTACTACCACCACCACACCACCATAGCGATTTATCGAGTCCTGGTGTGGTGATGTAGGTTAATACACTGGACTGCAAAGTCGGTTTGAATCACAAGATCAACAGTTCAAGTTCGTAAGCCACTCCTCAGAAACCTATACAGGGTCACTATGGGTCAGAACCGACTCCACTGCACTTAACAACAACATAACTATATATGTAGTACTGGTGTGGTACCATAGGATAACACTTAACCTCAAGGTCAGTTTGAACTGCAAGGTCAGCAGTTCAAACTCACCACACCAGCCACTCTTCAGAAACTCTTCTATATACAGGGTTGCCATGAGTTGGCAGCACTGAACACACCAACATAGCAATATATGATTAACTTTTTTTTTTATTGTTTTATTGTGGATTATATGATAGTTTACATGGGAATCATTAGTTTTACATTCATCCTATCGTATATGGTTTCATTGCCATCATTACAATCCCCTCCATGCATCATCAACCAACCACAGGATATATCCTACAAGCCTGCCACTCCCCCCCACCTCAACCCCTACCCCCAGTCGTCAGTACATAGCCTCTCTCCCTCTCTGGGTCTAAAGCCCCCAGTTGCTCCATCTCTTCACGTCATCGTCTCTGCCTCCATCTCAGGCATCACTGCTTCTCTCGGTAGGGTCCTGCTCTCCATTCTTCTCCCTTGATAGTCCCAGGGACCTTCGCTCCTAGACTGCAAAGTTAATAACTCCCCTCCTTGCCACAAAATGTCTACCTTTACATTTACAACCCTCACCATCAGTCCTGATAACAATTACTCACCATTGTATCACAAGAGACCTATCCACATTTCCTTTTATATGATTAACTTTTATAAAATATATATTTGGAAATAAATCTAGAATCTTAAAATAATGTTAATGATAATTGTGGACTAAGGATATTAAAATTGTTTTTTTGTTTTGTTTTCTTAGTTTCTGTCATGAATATGTGACTTTTGTATCAATAAAAAGTGTTACCTTTTTAGTAAATTTATGTATGGCATTTAGAGGTAATTTTATTATTGTTGTCGATCGCTATCAAAGCAGTTTCAACTCATAGCAGCCTGATAAGTTTCCTAGGAGCTGGTGGTATGTTTGACCCGCCAACCTTGTGATTCAAACTGACCTTGTGGCCCAATGCGTATCTTATGGTGCCACGCCAGGACTCCTAGGTATTTGTTGTTGTTGCTATTATTGTTCAGTGCTGTCGAGTTGGTTCCAACCCGTAGCAACCCTATATAGGTTTCTGAGGAGCAACTGGTGAATTTGATCCATCAACCTTGCGGTTCAAATTGACTTTGCAGTCCAGAGCATTAACCCACAGCATCACGCCAGAACTTGTAGAACCATTATTTTTGAAAGACATCAGTAAAAATTTAGTCCTGAGAATTTAGCCTTTTTATTCTTTTCTTTATTTCACTTCCCTTCGCAATGAGCCACCCTCAAAAAACAAAATAGATTGCAGAAGACTAATTTATAAGTAGAGGAGAAGAGAAATGCCAGACACCATCCTGATGCTGTGAAGCAAGTGTGTATGTGTTGACAGATCTTCCCCTGTCCTAACTCCAGTAGAGGCTGAAAATGATCAGTAGTGACATGAATTACACATAACTGTTTGTAAAATATAAGAATAGCTGATGGTTTTTTAAAAAAAAAAAATTTAGGGAATTAAGTCATATTGAAAAGTACTTTGAATCGCCTTTAGACTTGAAATAAAATCCACTCACTTGAAAAATGAAATTGTGACGTTAGTGTCTATCAGAATAAAATGAAAGGGTACTGAATTTTTTTCTGAAAACTAATTTAAAGGGTTGATGCTTATTTTGAGATATAGCTTTGTTTAATTTTTAAAATATTTTATAGATACTTTAGTAAAACAATGGTGAGTGTATTTTAATGCTCTTAAATGACAGAACAAACAATTGGCAATTTTATGTGGACCTCTTTCTTTTTTTTTTTTTTTACTGGTCCAAGAAATTTTAAATCATATGATTATTTCCTCTTCATAAAAATGCTTTTCAAAGTACCATATATTAATAAAATATCAGTTTGTTGAATTTCTACCAGTTGTATATTTCTATTATGAAGACTATAAAAGAAAAAAATAATCTAAAATTACTTTACATGTCTTTACAACAGGTTTTTCTTAAAATTTTTCTGGAAATTTTTAGGTTCTAAAATTTTGGGGAATCCTGAGGTTATGTTTTCAGCTGGAAATGTTTGAAATCATGGCAGTCTCTTAATGGATACTGATCATTTTAAAAGAAATTTGTTTTTAATAATAAAAATAAGAACTTGGAAAAATTAAAATTACCCCCATAATTCCTTGGCCCAGAATTAGCCACAATTGTTAGAGTCCTGATATGGCACCATAGCATAAGCACTCAACCTCAAGGTTGGTTTGAACTGTATGGTCGGTGGTTCAAACTCATCAGCCGCTGCTCAGAAACCCTGTACCGGGTCACTATGATTCGGATCCAACTCTACAGCACTTAACAACAATTGTCTTATTTTCTGTGTGTATTTGTGTGTGCACACATGGACACAGGCTTGTTGTTGTGTGCCATCAAGTTAATTCTGACTCCTAGCAACCCAGTGTGACAGAGTAGAGCTGTCTTAGAGGGTTTCCCTGGCTGTATAATCTTTACTGGAACAGATCACCGAGTCTTTTCTCCATGTGCTGAGTGGGTTCAGACTGCCACTTTTCAGCAGCTGAGTGCTTGAGCATTGTACCACCAGGGAAACTTTCAGGGTTTGCCTTTGGTTAAATTGTATATATGGTATTATAGGTTGCTTTTTCACCTCACAGCTTTTTCTGGATACGTTTTTCATATTTTCAAATTTTCTTCACAAATAATATCTGTCTTGTTATTTAATAGATACAAATTTGAACCATCTCAAGCAGAGGTCAGCAAACTTTTTCTGTAAAGCGTCAGATAGCATATATTTTAGGTTCAGTTACTCAACTTTGCCATTGAGCATAAAAGTAGTCTTCTTGTTGTCAGTGTCGCTAAGTCAGTTCTGACTCGTAGTGAGCCTGTATAGGGTTTCTGAGAGCAGCTGGTGGGTTTGAACTGATAACCTTGCAGTTACCAGTCCAGTGCTTATCCTACAGTGCCATACCAGCGCTCAAAAGTAACTATGAATGAGCATGAATGTGTTCCAGTTAAACTTTATACTTATTTACAAAACAGGCTTGGGCTGTAATTTGATAATTCTTGTGCTAAAGACTCTAAGCATCTCTTATTTTATCTTATAGAAAAAAAGCGACAGTTTGAAATGAAAAGAAAGCTTCACTACAATGAAGGACTGAATATTAAATTAGCTAGACAATTAATTTCAAAAGACCTGCATGATGATGAAGAGGATGAAGATGAAGAAATGCTAGAGGCTACAGATGGAGAAAGGATGAATACAGATGAATCAAATCAAGGTTAGATGTTTTGAAAATATCAAGACTCTGGTGTTAGTTACTGGTGGTTATGGTGGTATTGTGCCATGGAGTCAGTTCTGACTCATGTGACCCTATATAGGTTTTCCGAGATTGTAAATCTTTACGGGAGCAGAAAGCCTCATCTTTCTCCCAAGGAACGGCTGGTAGTTTCAAACTGCTGAAATTGAGGGTAGCAGCCTGAGTCGTAACCACTATGCTACCAGAGCTCTCCTTGTTGTTAGTTACTAGGGGGCTTCAAAAGAAGTTTGTGTAAGAATTGTATTAAAAGAGACTGGTGCTCTTTTTCTGGGTGCCTTGGCATTGCCAACATGGGCAAGTATTGAGGTCTTCATACTGCCAGCCAGCAAGCTCTGTAGCCACCAACAGAACCAAAAATGCCTTGGTAAACAGTACAAAGAAACTTATTTGGGCACAGCTTTGAAAGCCACCCCCTTTGGAGGCATTTCCCATACAAAGGGTATTGTGTTAGAAAAGTGGGTGTTGAAGCCAAACAGCCAAATTCTGTCATTAGGAATTATGTCAGAGTCCAGTTCATCAAGAATGGAAAGAAAAGCACAGCCTTTGTACCCAACTATGGTTGCTTGAATTTTATCAAGGAAAACAATGTTGTAGTTGCTGGATTTGGTCACAAAGGTCATGCAGTTGGTGGCATTCCTGGCGTCTGCTTTAAGGTAGTCAGAGTAGTCAGCATCTGTGTTTTGGCCGTATACAAAAGGCAAGAAAGAAAGGCCAACATCATAAATTTTGATGTTGAAAAGTAATGATAATAAATTTTCATATTCCCAAAAAAATGATAATGGAATTTTTTTCACAAACTTTTTGAAGCCACCTTGCATTTGGTACTGTCAAGTTGGTTCCTACTCGTAGCAACCCTATGTATAACAGGACAAAACACTGTCGTCTGCCATCCTCACAGCTGTTGCTTTGTTGGAGCCCATTGGTGCAGCCATTGTGCTAATCCATCTTTGAGGGCCTTTCTGTTTTTCGCTGACCTACTTTACCAAGCATGATGCTGTGCTCCAGGGACTTGTGATCCTTAGTGCTTAAAATAATATCTTTTATTTTGCTTTTAACTTGTGAAGGACCTCAGAAATTTTTGCTGAAATAACTTATTTACTATGCCAAAATTTTCTAAAATCCCAACCCTTGTTTCAAAATAATATTTTTATTGTTTAAGACTTTTGGTCTGTTTTAATGGTTTGTCTTTAGACATTTATGTCTATTTTGTTTTCATTGTTTTGGGTCATATTTTATTAGTCACATCAATCTAATTTAAAGTTTAAACTTTTGAAAAAGAAACATCTTCAATATGGAAAATTTGTTTTGAAATCCCTTAAGGCCCAGTGTACATCATATCTTTCCAGTATAGAATCTTTTGAATGTTGATGGACAAATTATTTGATTGCTTGTTTTTTCTTTTTTCTTTTTTTTTGGCAGTCTCTGCAACCTAGCAATTCTTGATCAGATTCATAAAAAATATATTTTATTTATTTGTAATAAATTGTTACTCTGATACTCAGTGAAGGTTAATCTTCTGTACTACTAATGAAATTTTTGTGCCCATTAGTCATTCTTTGTGCTTGCAAAGTGGTACTTTTTAGTGAAGGTATAGCTTCCTCTTTTATTAGTTTTGCTTAATATGATTAAACCTTAGAAAAGTAGTTACTGCATTGTTCTGGTATGAATATGAGTGATGTCTCCGAGAGCTTGATGAGTCACTGTCTCATAGTGTCAAGATCACAGGTTTTTTTTGTTATTCCATGTTATGCTTTAGCCTTTTACACTGTTTTATGTAGCATTTTCATTTCATTGTATGTACTAAAAGTGAGGGGACTTCAAAAAATTGGTTATAAAATTCCATTATATTTTCTATTGAGTTTTTTTGAAGTCCCCTCATGTTTAACTTGAATAAATGTCTACTTATGCTGTTGTTTTACAGCTTCGTTCTCGCACTCTTTTTATATCTATTACACTTTTTTTGGTGACTTATCTCCTAATTGCCCTGGGATCTTAATTTTCCTTATTTACCTATATTTTGGTAGTTTCTTTTCATGTGTTCAGAGTGTTACTTTGATTCAAACTTTTCACCAGTTTCTACTTAGACTTATAGAATCAACTCTTAGTGACTGTAGCAAAACACTAGGAATAACCTCAGTTGACACTGAAAATTTGTCCTTGCACCTCTGTGCCAGATAGTAAAGGGATGTCTTTTCCTTTTCTTTTTCTCTGCAGTCATGGGTTTTTAAACAATAACTCAGGTCTTTTGTCCATCTCTGCTTATAAAACATGATTTCACATATAACATATTTTTTCATTTGATTTAAGTATAATAGACAATGGAAATTTTTACTAGCGCCATGGCTGATTCCCCCTCACCTCCCCCCCCCCATTGGAAATGAAGTATTCTTTACATAGGATAGCTTAGCATCATGAAGTCTGAAAGGATAAGAAGGCAAGATAGTATAACAGTCTTAAGGAAGTAAAATCCTTACTTATCCTCCTGCCCAAAATCTCCAGGACCTCATTACTTTTGTGAGTATTGAAGTTCTTCTCCTGTCCCCATCTGTTTGGTTCTTATTTTTATAGAAGAAGTGGCATGTTTGGACACTGAGAAATAACCTTATAGTCTTTTTGTTGTTGTTATTGTTTTGAAAGTAAAGTTACAGTCAAGTTTATTTAGGTATAAACGTTTAAAACCTGGAAATGTATTATACATAAGTACATACATATTAAATAAACTAAAGCCATTACATGAAATCAAACCAGTTTAAAGAAAAAACAAAAAACAGGAATGTCTTGATTTCTCCCCTATACTATCTCCCCTTCTTCCCCTCATCATACCTTACTTATAGTTTTGAGATAATAAATGTAAAGCTTATTTTTAGTGCTTAGAGTCCTGGTGTGGTGCTGTGCCAAATGCGTCAGACTGCAAAGTAGTTTGAACTGCAAGGTTGATGGTTCAGGCTCACCAGCTGCTCCTTGGGAACCCTATACAGGGTCGCTGTGGGTCGAAATCCACTTGAAGGCACTTAACAATAGTTGTCTATTATAAAATCCTATCTATCTACCTATGATTTATTCACAGAAATGTTCAGCCTGAAACCTACTTTTTCCATTATCAAGTGATGTTTCTGTTCTGCTCTTTAGAATATTTAGGGAACATACTGTTTCTTTCTTATTAGCATGTATGAAATGGTAACTTACCTTGTTTGTATTTTGAATATTTATGTTTGTCGTCCATCGCAATGGCACGGAACTTGGGTAGTTCCAAAGTTGGAAATACACAATATTGACTTTTTAATTTTGTCTTTGCAGGATCTACTACAAGTGACCAACTGCAAAACAAATCATAGTTCATAAAAGAGATTTGTTCAACACTGCAATTGTCAAATACAAACCCTGTTAACTATAATACAAACGATGCTTCTTGTTCTGTACAATTCATGACTTCAGTACTGAAATCACATACCAGTTATACTGTATTGCCAAGAATTAAATGGTAACCTTAGAGACTGATTAGACTGAAAATGCCTAATTGATACATATATTCTTGTGCCTAGTACTTCACAAATATAACATAATGTCATTAGTCCAAAACAACATTACTTTTATAAGAACACTGGTTAATTTGTATAAGATATGATATAGCTTTTTATGGTTTAAAAGTTAAACTATCTTTTTGGAGGGGCAGGGGTACTAATTTATTTTCTCCTAGATTTGGTTGCGCTTATAAAAAGTTGTTTTGTTTTTTAATCAAAAACAAGTTGGAACAACAGGTTGTATAGGACAATAAAGAATCAGACTAAAAGGTATCTTAACACTTGTCTTCAACTTGAGTAGTCTGTTTAATTGAAAAGGCTTATAAGAGATTGTATTTTCTTGGTCTACTACCTTTTAAATTCTCATTGAGTTTCTTTGTGTTTATAAGGAAAGGATTGAACTTTTTCTCATTAAAACTAGCTTTTCCACAAATAAATTATTGTATGATAAAGTCTGCTGTGTTGTTTTGTTGTTGTTGTTTTTTTGTACACTATAAATAGGCAGATTTCAAATACATTTTTTTTTTAAAAAACAAATATCATTTTAAAGTAACTATCTTAGTATTATTCCCATTTATATATCTGTCTTTACCTCTGCCTGTGTTTCCCATGCCTTTCCACACATACACACATTTATTTACCTTTATAAAGTATCCTAAAGATTGTCAATTCATTAGGAATGCTTCTTTCTCTCATTTAACTCTGTCATTGGTACAACAATGAAATTCTTATTTTGACCATCAATGCCTACTAGCTTTTCTAATTTATGGAGAAAATAGATGAAGTAACAGCAGTACTATAGACAGGAAGTACAGCTCAACTTCTGAATGTCTGCACCTCCCCTGGTTTACAGCTTGCTAATTTCATTGCTATTATGAGTTTATTGTTTGACTTAATTAGATCTTAGAAAACAAACTGGTTTTTGCATGATGAGAGAATTGTGTGCAACCAGTGGTATGATTATAGTTCCTGAATGTACACTGAAGTAAGCCTGAACATGTTTTAATATAAAAAACTAATAGCCCTTGCCTTAAGGGAATATGACAATGTATACTATAGCAAATGAACTTTATTCTTCTAACACATTAAGAATTATTTGGCTTTTTTCCAGAAACGAAGTGCAGTTCCTCTGTATCTTGGTTTAGTGATGGTTTCATTTCTAGTCAATTTATTTGTATCTTAAATTTTATTTGTATCAAAAGAATCCATTATATAAACAGACTTTTTAAATGATTTATGTATATTGTATATATGAAATGGCTTTTACTGAGCAACATTTCTTCCACTTGCAAGTTTATGGAAATATCAGTATGTCAAAATAAATAAAAAGTGGGAGAATTTTTTTGCTATTAGAATGTCTTTTTTTCTTTTTTCTATGGACTGCAAAGTACTTCTGAACTGAGGTGGATTATTCTCATGAAGCTCACTGGTTTATAAAACAACAATGTTTATCTCTGCTTTCTGAATTTAGAATGTCATCCAACCTCTATGAAGAGATTCAGGGATGAAACCTGTATGTGTGTATATACACAGTCTGTGCTCTCACAGAAAGTATACCGCTTCTCTTTATTTGTAGAAGTAACTGCTATGCAATAAGAAGGTTATCAGGTGCCATTGAGTTGGTTCTGACTCATAGCAACTTTAGGTAGAACAAAGTGCTGCCTGGTCCTACTCTATTTTCTCAATCATTACTTTTCTTGAACCCCTTGTTGTAGTAACTTTGTCAACCCAATTCCTTGAGCGTCTTCCTCTTTTTCACTGACCAGAGCTATACCAGGCATAGTGTTCTACCCAGGAACTGGTTCCTCCTCATAGCATGTTCAAAGTACAAGAGACAGAGTCTCAACATCTTCGCTTCTAAGGAACATTCTGGCTGTACTTCTAAAATAGATTTGTCTGTTCTGGCAGTCCATGGTGTTTTCAGTTTTCTACACCAGCACCATAATTCAAATGCATTAATTCTTCCATCATCCTTATTCATTATCCAGCTTTCCCATGCATTTAAAGTGATTGAAAACACCATGACTCGAATCAGGCATACTTTAGTCCTCAAGGTGACATCTTTGCTTTTTAATACTTTAAAAGAGGCTTTTTGCAGCAGATTTACCCAGTCCAATATGTTGGTTTCTTGACTGCTGCTTCCATGGGTGTTGAGGAAAAGTAAGACTTTTAAACAAGTGATTGTTGTTTTTCCTATGAACTATTTCTTGAAACTTAAATTACAGGGAAACTGACATTCCTGATTTCAGAGAGTAGAAATTATCCCAGAGAAATAAGATATACCAAGTAACATGCTCAGTAGGATTTTAGGTAATTGGTCATTTGTCATCAAGTAAAAATGTTTCCAAGTCATGACTTGATGTAGTATTAGACTATACAGTAAATGAACCTTTATGATTCAAGTTAAGTTTTCCTTTGGAAAGTTACATGAATGTTCTAGCCAAAATAGATTTTACTGTATACTTTTATCAATATCACCTCCTCTTATTAACTCTTTCGATGTTATCTTGTCTATTTATTCATTATTCCATTTGAGATTCAACAGAGGTGGATCTTTAATATCCGTCTCATGTATAAATAAGAAGCTCTGGTAGTGTAGTGATTATGAGTCGTGCTGCTAATCTCAACAGTCAGCAGTTCAAAACTACCAGCAGTTCCGCGGAAGAAATATGAGACTTTGCTGCCGTAAAGATGTACAACCTCAGAAACCCATACAGGGTCTCTAGAGTCAGAACCAATTCCACAGCACACTACCACCAACTTGTGTGTAAATGGGTTGTTATAAAAATAGCTTTTAAAAGTGCAATACAGTTTTTCCTTAGACTGCTAAAATGTTTTTCTTACAATTTTTCCATTTAAGTAATAAAATACAACAATATGCCTGTGTTTAGATTGTGTTTTCTTGCTGCCCAGCTATCTCAAGACCATATTCCTTTGGCCAGGAGTGGATCTTGGACCACATTATGGAAAAGTAGTTAGTTTTGTGAGTTTGTAGTAGAAATAATATCAATATATACCATTTATGGGTATGGAGTCCTTCTGTAGCGCTGTAGGATAAGCACTCAACCTCAAAGTCAGTTTGAACTGCAAGGTCGACAATTCAAACTCAATAGCTGCTCCTCAGAAACCCTATACAGGGTCACTGAATTGGAACCTACTGAATGGCACTTAACAACAACAACCACCGTTTATGGAGAACCTTTTATTCATTCTTGCTCAGCATTAAGTTGGATTCCTTAGATCCATTCCTGACAACAACTCTGCAGAGTAGTATGTATTGCCAGCACTTTATAAGTGATATGAAAGTTGAACTTCCTTCTGGAGGATAGAAGAGAGAAGGTATGGTAGCAATAGATGCACAAGTCTATGGATTGCATGTGATTTGCCAAGCATAGGACTTTAATTTGGGCTAATTTATGCAAAAAAACTGTAAACTATGTATCCAGGACCAGATGAGGGTGTAGTTGATGCAACTTGATGTGGGTCATGAACTGCTGTGGTTTGTATTGATAGAACTATTGCTCCAAGACTTGCTTCTCTAAGTAGTTTCCCAAAACGTCTTGAACATCCCCACCAACTCTTGGTGTGGCTTGTTGATAAGCACATCTGCAGCTCGTTGGGAAAATAAGAGCAGATAGCAAGTGTCTCTGATCTGTGGCTCACATAACCACGCCTTGGTTAACTGCCCTGGCAGTGTATTTCTTGGCTACAGTGCTTTAAATTTGGATTTGACTCATCCAGTCTTTTATTTGAGGAATTATTTGGAGGAGGTAATGCTGAGAGTAGGTAAGTTGAGGGTGGATTTGGCAAGTGTTCAGTCATGGTTTTAATTCAACTGCCCAACCTGAATTTTTTTTCTAATAGTCTGCCAAGTGAGTTCTGCCAATGGGAATTTTTTGTTTTCTTTACATTGAGATGCAATCCATACTGAAGACTGTTCTTTGGTCTTCATCAGTAAATAAGTCCTCTCGCTTTGAACAGTCAAGAAATTAGACGATGTATTGCATTAGGCAAATCTGCTGCACAAGACCTTTTTAAAGTGTTGAAGAGCAAAGATGTCAGCTTGAGGACTAAGGTGTGCCTGACCCAAGCTGTGGTATTTTCAATAACCTGATACCCATGTGAAAGCTGGACAGTGAATAGGAAAGACCATACAAGAATTGATGCTTTTGAGTTATGGTGGTAAGAATATTGAAAGTGCCATGGGCTGCCAAAAGCACAAACATCTGTGTTGGAAAGAAGTACAGCCGGAGTGCTCCTTGGAGGTCAGGATGGCCAAACTTCATCTCTCCTACTTAAAACATACTGTCAGGAGGGACCAGTCGCTGGAGAAGGATATCATGTTTGGTAAGATGGAGGCTCAGAGACCCCCAGCAAGATGGATTGACAAAGTGGCAGCATCGCTGGGCTCAGGCGAGGCAACAATTGTGAGGTTGGCCCAGGACTGGGCACTGTTTAGTTCTGTTATGCATAGGGTTGCTATGAGTTGGTACCGGCTTGATGGCACCTAACAACAACCAATGGGAATTGCTGACATGGGAGCTTCTACGAATTGTTCCCCTCTGTTTAATTCTTTCTGGAAGATGACAGATTTGACCAGAAATGGAAAAGCATTGTGCAAGCTGATCTTTGAATCTTATCATCTAACATCACTGTTTCAGCAGAAGGATTTTAAGTAGTTTTACATTATGCCTTATCCTAGTAAAATGGTTCATTCTAAAGAAAAAAAAAAATATGTTACCAATAACAGAGTTAATAAACATTGGAAGAAGAAAGGTACTTGTTTAGTTACACTCCCTGGTCTCTGAAGTATTTCTTATATAAACAGTTACTTAAAAATAGAATTTACTTATTTTTTATCTGCCTATGTGAAAATGACAACTGAAAAATGAGCACATACTTTGTTGTAGGGCACTGTGCCAGGCTAGTTGGAGATATGTATATTAAGACTCCTTTCCTGACTTTGAAGATGGTA